GAGGAACAAACAGAACAGTGTTCCATTTTGATGGACCTGATCGTGCCGGATTGGGGGTAATCTGATGTGAATGGACACATGTACATTGGATTCCCCATAGACAGACATGGGGTCCGGTGATTTCAGTTTTTCCCTGCATCGCAAGATATAGGAAAAAACTTGATGGACACTGATGTCACAGAGATGATATCCAATCCGTACCACTTCGATAAGTAGGGGATCCAGGCACAGATCTCTTCCTGATCAGCCCGTTTGTAAGGGGCCTTAGGAGTTCAATAGAATTATGGCAGATCCGCAGGTATTTTTAGGTACTTCCACTCATCCCCCATAGTTAGAGCCGACGTGTGACTTTGAAACTGTCACACGTCAGCTCTATTGATCGGGGAGTGAGGGAACACATAACATTGCTCGCTCACTTCCTGATCATCTCCCTGTAGAGAGCTGTGACTGTCAGTCATTCCTCCCCGCAGGGATTCCCCCTTCCCATCTTTGTTCCTCCAGCACTGACTGCAGATCCAGCTGTCAATCAACCAGCAGGGTGGATCACACCAGTATTGTTGGGATCCGTCCCGGCTGCGGCGCTCTCAGCATATAGTGAGCAACAGCTCGCTATATGCTGAGCTTTGGGTCACGGGAGGAGGTTAGTATATGTTCTCCCATGATCCAAAAGAAAACTATGGGGGAAAAAATGTTGCCTCCTAGTTCTCCTTCAACCCTTTCGCTGCCAAGGCGGGTTTTTTTTGTTGTTTTGTTTTTGGCACACGTTATAATTTTACATTTTGGCCTGAAAATGACTTCAATCCCCCAAATATTATGTTTTCTAAAAGCCAATACCCTCTTGAATACAATGGTGGCAGTTGCAAATGTTTATATTGCACGGTATTAGCGCATCTCTTTATCAAACCCCAAAATTAAGTGAAAAATGCACTAAAGTTGATTCTGGTGCCCCAAAACACAATAAAAGACCCATTTTTTTGTAAAATATAAAAGATGAGATTACGATAAGTACATAACCAGGTCAAAAATTGCGTGTGTCTGTAAAACAGCGACAAAATTCAGAACCCCAAAAAAGCCCATAGACGATGATGCTTTAAAAGCCCGTACATCAGTTTAGAGATGTGCGTGAATATTGGCCCTAGAATTATTGCTCTCACTCTGGTGGGTGTGGTGATACCAAACATGTGCAGCGCAATCGACTTTGTATGTGTGTGTTTGTTTTTTTTTTTGTAAACTTTAATTGCTACTACATAGGGGAGGCTTACAAGCCCCCTATGTGGTAGCATATTAGCAGTGACAGGTACTCTTTAGGGTGACACTGGGGGTCCAGAGGACCCCCAGTGTCACCTTTCCACTCCAAATAAGCATTGAAGTGGAGATTGTACTTCAAAAGCTTATTGCTCGGCTTCAGAAGCCCAGCACTGACAGCTATGGGACCGGACGTGATGTAATGCTCCCGGTCCCATAGAACAGGGAGGTGATCGGTGAACGGAAGTTCGTTGCTCTCCTCCCCAGCTTCCCGAAGACACCCGACACGGCGGGTGGACGTGGAAGTGTTCTGGCTGCAGGTGAGCCGCCAGAATCGCCTTCATTGTAAATCCGGCAGAGGGGGGATGTGCATGCATTGTGGAGATGTCCTAAATATGTAATCACCTTTAAGTTGCAGAGTGCCATAGATTATAAACATTTCTTGACCCTAGGAAGCGTGTAATGCCTCTTTAATGATGAATGTACATTTTTATATGTGTGTAGGTTTAATGTGAACCTATAACATAAAAATCCCCCTGCCTTCTATGTTTATAGATTCATATGAACCTACACAGAAATGCTACATGAGTGACTCTTCACATATCACACAAATGCCTTTCTTGTACTGTTTTACATATTTCGGATAGGGCAAATGTGTGACTGCTTGTGGTTTTGTTTTACCATAGAGATTGTTTCTTTTGCTTCTATAGATTATGCTAACTCAGGAGTGTGTGACATTAGCAATCAGAGTTCCATGTGTCCTAGATTGCTTTGAGGAACCAAATAATGAGCAATTTATTACTGGAAATTGTTATATTGGGATCCTTGTCTTTAATATACACAGTCACGAGTTACTGTCTGTGGATTTCGTGTCTGCATGTGTGTACAACTTCTCATTTAACATACTATCAAGCTGTGGATTTCCTGTCAGCGTGTTAACAATACCACATTTTAAAGTTGATCTAATCTATCATTTGTAGACTCCGAATCTCCTAAAATGTCACTGTTTTATTACCATTTTGCCATATTCATGTAGCCCCGTGGAGTCAAGTTTCTTAAGGTCCATTGATCCTAAAATGCCAGCCCAATGATTTTCATAAAAATGAACAGTGTCAGCTTGTAGAATCAATGAGGGCACCGTATTATAATGGAGCCTTGTGTTGCAGAGATTTGTGCACAAAGACATTTTGCCTTTCAAAATAACTGAAATACCTGAACTTTAAGTGTTTTTTTGTGACCGGGTATTTTGCCTAGTGAGCAGTCTGTTAGCTAGTTAAGTGAGCAGTGTCAGTCGCTGATTCTATGCCATAAATACGGAAGCAGGAGTCCTGAGGCATGATGTTAGAGTTTAATAATATAAAATGTAAAGCTTGCCTCAAATAAGGCTTACTTTTTTGATGTGGCAGGCTGTATATGCCCGCTAGTCATCAAAGAATGTAGGGTTTAGGCCTTGTTCACACCAGATGCAGTGCGTTCCGGCCCAATTCTGGCCAGAATCAGCAAAGATGTCACCAGCACACCATAAGATTTCAGCAAAAGTCCATTTAATGACAAATTGCCATTCAGTTACAAGCGCTTTTGGGGCCTCAAGGGTTCCCCTTCATCAGGCTCAGAATGATGATGTCATATTCAATTGCCAATTGAATTCAATTGCCATTCAATTACAAGCGAAAGCGCTTGTAATTGAATGGCAATTTGTCATTAACCACTTGCCGTCCGCCCGTGGTTAACAGACAGACGGCACTGCAGCATTGGTGGGTTGCCGTCTCCAGACGGCATTTTTTTTCTGCTCGCGCATAATCAAAGTAACATATAAAAAAAGTAAACAAACCACCCCCAAAATGTTTAACTCCCCCACCCCCACGTTTACGCAGATATAAACCTAAATACGCGTCCGGTGCACCAGCGCGCAAAAACGACAATTGCGCTACACACATTTTGCTGAAATCTTATGGTTTGCTAATGATATCTTTGCTGATTTTGAGTTGTTCACGGTGCCGTCCGGGGTCGCTACAAGCACCCACTTGCTTTTGCAGGTTAACTACGGTATTATTCCGGTAAGGAGTGCAGCAAGTTACCTATTCCAATTCTGGTCAGAACGCACTGCATCACATTGCGGCCGGCTCACTATGTTGTGGGGCAGGAGGGGGCGTGACGGTGCATTGAAGTGAATGGCAGCGTAGCCACGCCCTCCGGCCACAATGCGATCGGCCGCATGGGAACACAAGGCACATTATGCCTGCGGTCCGGTCCGAACAAAATGCTGCAAGCACTATTTTGTTCATACCAGACTGCAGGCATAATATGCCTTGCGTTCCCGTGCGGTCGATCGCATTGCAGCCGGAGGGTGTGTCTACGCTGCCATTCACTTCAATGCACCGCCACGCCCCCTCCTGCCCCACAACATAGTGAGCCGGCCGCAATGCAGTGTGTTCTGGCCAGAATCGAGTCGGAACGCACTGCATCTGCTGTGAACGAGCCCTTACAGAGCAACCTGGTTTGGTTTGAGAGTTTTCTAATACAACCCTTATGCAGACTGAAAGTCCCGGACTTGTTTCACTTTTTTGTGTGATTTGTGTTCAAGTCTATTTACATCATAGTGGCTGCTTTATGAACCATTTGCACAGTGAAGAGCTCTGCGAACAAGGTTTGCTGTATGGCGTAGACCATAGACAATTCCAATCCTCCAGTGCCGGTACAGCTCTTGCACGGTGGAAAGGTGCGTGAATGGTTAATTGTACACAAGCAGTTCCCAGCACACTTACCAGCCTGCAAAAAAAGGATCTTGTCTAACTTTTAGGGTTAAAAACAAAAAGGTTTTAGTTGTACAACTTTTGCAAAATGTTTGGAAGCCGCACTGCCTCGTCAGGGCCCCTCTGTGTAGTGTGGTCCTAACTCTAATCTATGAGAGCCTCCATCTTGGAGCATATATACCAAAGGATGAATTGGGTGCAGGTTCACCAGGAGGCGGCCCAACCTCCTTAAAGACACAGGGACACACCAGAGGCACCAGTACATCACAATGACAGCTGAAGCCCCCAGTGTGTT